TTCTGCTGTATTATGGAACGCGCATCTTTAAAGTTCTGCAAGAGTTATCGGACTTGTTGTGATTTCCAGTTTGTTTACTTGTGTTTTTCAGTACAGCTAGGAGCTGTTTTACACAATTATCTTCATGTGTCATTTAGATCTAGTGCTAACCATTGAGTAAGTACCATGTAAGATGTATGTACATAACAGTAATTTAGTGCATTAACTGTGTCAAAGTCGATAATCTTACCTAGAACTGGGATTTATTCGAAGCGTGATTTGTAAACCGGAACACGTGTTTGCTTGGTAAGCCTTCTAATGCATTGAGATTTCTGTTATAAGTCGAACATTTTATTAATTTCAGTTTCTTACCCTCTCCGGAGGTTCTGTGTGTGATACTGCTGTCCTCCCCGGAGACAACTCTTGCATGATAAACAGATAAATAAAAGTTTGAGACACCACAGTAAGAAATCAACGACCGGCATGCAAATGACGTCATCAGTCACAGGCTCCCGTCCCCGGACAAAAAGCACCAAAGGTATGGAACAATTTGAGCATGCTGTTCTTAAATACCATAGAAACATGTCAAACAAACGAAAAAATCTAGAATCAGTATTATCTGCGTTGTTTAACGCAGCCACCAGCCCACTGGCCGACATCAGCAACATTAAGGATGACCTCACCAGCACCTTCGCAGATTATAAAAAGGTCTCGACAGAGTTCATGTCCTTCCTGTCCAGAAACCCATGTAATCAGAGTAGCAGGGAATACTCATCACAGTTACTTATTCTAAATGTTTTGACAGACAAGTATCAAAGAGCCTTATCAATGATCAACGCTGGATTAGCAGAAAGTAAACTTTATCAGCACAAGGGTCTGTTAACGCACATGTGCCATCAAAACATAAGTCTATGAAATCAACACAGGGATCTGTGAACACACATGTATCATCAAAACATAGGTCGAGGACATCAGCCTCATCTACAAGGTCCATGGTTAAACAACAGAGGGCTGACACCGAGATTAAGAGGGAGCTCGCAGAGGAAGAGGCTTCAATTAAAAAACAACAAGCTGTGCTCCAAGCGGAACTTGATGTATTGGCGGTAAAAAGGGAAGTTAAGGAAGCTGAGGCCAAGCTTAGAACTATGCTAGAACAACAAAGTGACAGTGATGACAGCAGAGTGTCGTATGAGTCAGGAGAAAGGTCAACTAGAGTGACACGATTTGTCGAGGAACAGAACTTGAGGCTTAATCTCTCCTCAGAACCTGAACCAGTAAGTAAGTTTGTCAGAGGGAGTAGCGTGTCGTCTCATATGGGATCTGAGTCATGTATCGATGAAGCATCAGGGTGTTATAGCCATATACCTTTAACTCAGGTCAGGTTTGACTGTTCACCCACTTTGTTACAATCCTCCCAAGGATACTTACCTCATTTTGAGTTACCTACATGTACCTCCAATGCCAATACGTTGCCTGGAAACCCCGAACCACGTACGCTACAGCCTTCAAAACAAGGTAAACAAATGTCGTCCACTCCGGGTCCATTGCCATTGTTAGACATATCATCAGTCACTTCAACCAACAATATATCATATGCAATTACCTCACCAACGACAAATGCCTTGAACCCGGATGCGCAAGAATTTCACCCATCACCTACAAATCATCATTTTGATATGTGTGCTGAGTTCTCAAAGTACCTCTTGAAAAAGGATTTACTCCTCTCTAGACTCACTAAGTTCACAGACTGCACAGAGACCTATGCTGTATGGAAATCTAGCTTCAGAGGTATCATAACAGAGCTTGGAGCTACTGCTACAGAGGAAATGGACCTCCTGGTAAAATGGCTAGGTGCAGATTCCAGCAGGCAAGCCCTGAACATAAGATCTGCATACCCTGAGGACCCTAAGGTAGGGGTGGCAAGAATCTGGGAAAGATTAGAGGATCGTTATGCTGGTCCAGAGATGGTGGAGGCTTGTCTGAAAGCCCGTGTCGCTGCTTTCCCCAATATTTCAAACAAAGACAGTAGTCGATTGTTCGAACTTGTTGACCTTGTATCCGAGATTGCTGCTAGGAAAGCAGACAAACAATACTCTACTTTGTTGGCATACTATGACTCATCTTCTGGAGTAAACCCTATAGTGGCCAAGTTACCTGTTAGTATACAGCAAAGGTGGACTACACATGGCATCAAGTACAAGAAAAACCATGGTGCGTCATACCCTCCTTTCACTGTTTTCATAGAATTCCTGCGCGACATTGCAAGGGCGAGAAATGACCCTGGGTTCAAATATGACCAGCCAGATGCGTCTACCGCAATGTCAAAACCTGTCAAAACAGGAAACAGACCTCCCAAGGTTTTGGTATCTGCAAGAAAAACTGAGGTGGAAAAACCATCAGAGCTTGCCCTGTCCTGTCCTTTACATAAGACAAAACACACGCTCAACAAATGTAGAGGTTTCAGATCGAAGCCTATAGAGGAAAGGAAGAAGTTTCTTCGTGAGAACTCTCTCTGCTTTAGGTGCTGTGGCCCTGGAAAACACTTGGCCAAGGATTGTGATGTAGCCATAAAATGTGAAATTTGCAACAGTAACCGACACCCGTCAGCTCTACACATTACAACTCCTCTTAGCAAGTCATCAGTTCCAGATAAAGAACAGGCTAAAACAACTCCTACAAACCCTGTTAATTCAACATGTACACAGGTGTGCAAGAATCCCTTGGGCATGAGTAAATCCTGCGCGAAGACTGTCCTTGTGAAGGTGTACCCTACTGGCCAGCCAGACCAAGCTCTCAGACTCTATGGCATCATTGACGATCAGAGTAACCAAACACTTGCTAGGACTAGTTTCTTTGACTACTTTGGCGAAGAAGGCAACCACACCGAGTATACGCTATCCTCATGCTCAGGCTACATTTCAGCTTCAGGAAGAAAAGCAAGAGGATATGTTGTTGAGTCTCTTGATGGCACAACGGCTATTGATCTACCAGATTTGATTGAGTGTGACATGATACCAGATGCCCGGGATGAGATACCGACTCCGGAGGCTGCCTTTCATCACCCCCATTTACGTGAGATAGCAGATTACCTTCCGGCATTAGATCCTAAAGCCGATATTATGATGCTCATAGGGCGAGACCTCCCCACTGCACACCATGTGGAAGACCAGAAGATTGGTCCACCTGATGGGCCTTATGGGCAAAGACTCAAACTTGGATGGGTAATTATTGGTGAAGTCTGTCTTGGAAGTGTTCATCAGATACCTTTCGTCACTAGCAACAAGACTTACACCCTGAGAAATGGACGCCCTTCCTTGATGGAGCCCTGTCCTAATTGCTTTGAGGTAAAGGCGGACAGCCCAGAGCCCTGTTTCCCCGTTTACCTCAAAGGACCAAACGATGATGTGCCAGGCTTCTCAGTGGAGGACAAGGAGTTTCTTCATATAATGGATTCCTGCATGAAAAAGAATTCAGAGGGAAACTGGTCAGCGCCCCTTCCATTCAAGCCAGATCGACCTAGACTTCTTGACAACAGATCTCAGGCCTTACAAAGAGCATTGTCCTTGGACAGGAGTCTACACAGAGACGCTGTAAAGCGTGCTCACATGACTGAGTTTATGGCCAAGATATTGAACAAAGGGCATGCCGAAGTCACTCCTCCTCTGAAGGATGGTGAAGAACGTTGGTACCTTCCTCTCTTCGGCATATACCACCCCAAAAAGCCTGATAAGATAAGAGCAGTATTTGACTCATCTGCTCGATGTAATGGCATCTCGCTCAACAGCGTACTTATGACAGGGCCAGACTTAGTCAACAGTTTACTTGGTGTACTTTTGAGGTTCCGCACTAAGCCTGTAGCCATTACAGGTGACGTCGAGCAGATGTTCTACTGTTTTAAGGTGGATAAATCACATCGGAATTTTCTCCGGTTCTTCTGGCATGAAGACAATAACACATCAAAACAGCTTATCGAATACCGTATGACAGCACATGTCTTTGGAAATTCGCCATCACCTGCAGTGGCCACTTATGGTCTCAGACAAGCTGTCGAGGGAGCGGATGCTGATGTGAAGGAATTTGTTCATCGTAACTTCTATGTCGATGATGGTCTGACATCGACTTACGACGCCGATACAGCTGTGTCCTTGATGAAACGCACTCAGCATACATTACGAACAAATGGTAATATAAGACTTCACAAGGTCGCATCCAACAGGAGGGATGTGCTTGAGGCTTTCGGGAGATATTAAGAACTTGAACATGAGCGTCGACTCCCAACCTGTACAGAGAAGTCTAGGGCTCTCCTGGAACCTGGCAGGGGACTTCTTTACATTCAACTCACATCTTGAGGATAAGCCATATACCCGACGTGGGATCTTAGCAACGATAAACGGTCTATATGATCCACTCGGCTTTGCAGCTCCTGTTGTCCTCAAAGGGAAGCTGCTCTTTAGGGATCTCATTTCATCAACATTGGGTTGGGACGATCCGCTTCCCGAAGACAGTCGACGTGACTGGGAGTTGTGGAAAAGGTCCCTGAAGGAGTTAAACTACTGTAAGGTCCGTAGGTCATACTGTGAGGTACGACTTCATCAAGGAATGAAACAATGTCTGCACGTATTTTGTGATGCGTCCAAGGACGCCATTGCAGCAGTAGCGTATTTTAAGATCACGGAAGACGATGGAAACTCTCACGTCTGCTTTGTTCTAGGAAAGGCCAAAGTAGCCCCTCATCATGGGCATACTATTCCACGATTAGAACTTTGTTCCGCTGTCCTTGCTACAGAGCTTGGACAGATCATCGCTGATCAATTAGATGTCAACCCAGCAGATATCCGTTACCACTCTGATAGCAATGTCGTCCTGGGCTACATAAATAACAGAGTTCGTCGCTTCTACACGTATGTGGCCAACCGCATTGACAGAATTTTGAACGTCAGCAAACCAACACAATGGCAACATGTTCCTACCAACATGAATCCGGCGGATATCGGAACCAGATGTATTGATGCAGGTCAACTTGATCAAAGTCCTTGGTTGAGGGGCCCTTCGCTTCTTCTTGACTGTGAAATTCTTTGCAACCAGGATTTTCCTCTTATCAGTCCTCAGACGGACGCCGAAGTCCGGAATGTTGTCGCGCTTAAGTCGTCGACTTCCAACAGCCACGATAGTCTTGGTACAGAGAGATTCCAGAGGTTTTCTGGCTGGACATCCCTTACCCGTGCCATAGGGAATCTGCTCTGGTTTGTTCAGCATTTCAAAACTAAGGAGGGGAGTTTCGATTCCAAGGAGGGGAGCGCGGGAACTGGAAAACTTTCGAATCTGGAGAGAGCAAAACGAGTCATACTTAGAGAGACCCAGAAAGAGGCTTTCCCAAAGGAAATCCGGAACCTACAAAATTCAAAACCTATTCCTAAAGACAGTCACATTTCTTCACTTTCACCTTACTTGGACGAGGAAGGGATTTTGAGGGTAGGGGGTCGACTGAACAAATCTGGATACAATTCATTGGAGAAGAACCCAGTTATTCTTCCTGGCAAACACCATACAGCGAAGTTGATCGTTCTTCACTTCCAAGGTTCATCACCAAGGTCGACTCTTCACTGCAGGCGCTGTCCGCTCCGCCGGTTTCTGGATCACCGGGTCCAAGAGGCTAATCTCATCTCTCATCCATAAGTGCGTTCGTTGTCGTCGTTTACGTGGAAAGACCGCTGTTCAGCTCATGGCTGATCTGCCAGCAGATCGCCTCACTCCTTCGCCCCCATTTACATACGTTGGAGTGGACATTTTTGGACCATGGTATATCTCCTTTCGTCGAACCAGAGGATCCCATTCCCAGCAGAAAAGATGGGCTGCGCTATTTACGTGCCTAGTCATACGGGCGGTACACATCGAGGTCATTGAAGATATGTCGTCATCCTCGTTTATCAATGCCCTTCGCAGGTTCTATTCGATTCGTGGACCTGTCAGTGTTTTTCGGTCGGACAGGGGGACAAATTTCGTCGGATCCACCGATGCTGTCGGAATCCAAGCTATCAACGTCGAAGACATGGAGATGTCTAATCATCTTGTCAACATCGGCACTGTTTGGCGGTTCAACCCACCTCATGCTTCACATATGGGTGGCATCTGGGAGAGGATGATCGGTACTACGCGCAGAATACTTGACTCCATGTTACTCGACGTGAAAGGAAAGGAGCTCACACACGAGGTACTGACAACACTCATGGCAGAGGTCACAGCTATCATAAACTCTAGACCCATTGTCGCTGTTTCAACGGATCCAGAGGATCCACGTGTACTCTCACCTTCCGTATTGTTGACACAAAAATCGCCAGAATTACCCACATGTCAACTCACGGATGTCAATTTGAAGGATTCTTACAGGATCCAATGGAAACAGGTTCAAAATCTTGCCAACAACTTCTGGGATAGGTGGAAAAAAGAGTACCATGTCGGTTTGCAGGTGAGGCCTAAATGGCGTCAGGGACTTCCGAACTTCCAAATGGGGGACATAGCATTGATGCGGGATGATCAGAGCCCTCGTGTTGAGTGGCCTCTGGCTTTGGTGCAAAGAACATTTCTAAGCGATGACGGCAAGGTTCGGAAAGTCGAAGTAGCAGTGTGCCGTGATGGTGTAAGAACGACCTACATAAGGCCAGTTACCCAGTTGGTACCACTAATTTCCACAGAGTGAGGTGTTCATTGATCTCTCAACATGGATTGTGCAAGATAAGTGATACGTGCAAGCAACATTTGAATTTTATTGTAGTTGTGTTTATCGAAAGACACGTTCATCATATTTGTGTAGTAATAGATGCAATTGTATGACAATATATTAGTGACGTGTTTCACACGCCAGGAGGGGAGTGTGATGTTATAAAAATATATATTTTCTGCTGTATTATGGAACGCGCATCTTTAAAGTTCTGCAAGAGTTATCGGACTTGTTGTGATTTCCAGTTTGTTTACTTGTGTTTTTCAGTACAGCTAGGAGCTGTTTTACACAATTATCTTCATGTGTCATTTAGATCTAGTGCTAACCATTGAGTAAGTACCATGTAAGATGTATGTACATAACAGTAATTTAGTGCATTAACTGTGTCAAAGTCGATAATCTTACCTAGAACTGGGATTTATTCGAAGCGTGATTTGTAAACCGGAACACGTGTTTGCTTGGTAAGCCTTCTAATGCATTGAGATTTCTGTTATAAGTCGAACATTTTATTAATTTCAGTTTCTTACCCTCTCCGGAGGTTCTGTGTGTGATACTGCTGTCCTCCCCGGAGACAACTCTTGCATGATAAACAGATAAATAAAAGTTTGAGACACCACACCGGTGAACATTTGCTGACTGATGTAACGTTTTATATGCAGGTCATCCAGAGACGTTTTTCAGAGTCTTTACTAGAGACATGTATAGATGCTTGGCTGTATAGACTTTAATATATATTTCTATAATTATAGTGTAAGTGTGGTTATGAGTGAGGGAGTGAAGTGTGCTTAATTAGGGTAGAGATATATCTTGTTATGTGTATAGATGTGTAATAAACTTGTATATATTGTATTTTGGTTGTTTTAGCCATTCTTTGTGAGTCGCGCTCGTCCAGGTTACAATGGATAACAGCTATCGTTACCGTATGATCAGATAGGACAGTGGACTATCTTTGCTCATAAAATATTTCGTATATTAGATATTAGTTCATTGATGGCGAAAATTGTCATGTTAATGAAAATCCGGGATCAGAAGTATAGAGAATAATTTGTATTTTATAATCCAAATTTCTTTATAATACCTAACGTTTATGTCTTTGCTTTATGTAAACTGGTGTCGTTTTCAGTCGTGGAAATACATATGAATATCATTTAATCTAAATATTTGAAGCCCTTATATAGGTTGGAAATGTGTCGTGTGTTAAAGTCGGGATAATTCTTTTTCAGATATGTCCGTGTTAGAAAAAAATAGAAGTGAAATAGTAAACCAAGCTTTGTGTCACTAAGAGGGGTGATCCACGAATCCAGATCACCTGTGTCGTTACAGTCCCATGTGCCTTGCAGGTAAATTATTTCTGATGAGAGTGACTACATTGAAAACTTGTAAACAGGTAACGCTATAATCTCGAATATTCGGTCCACTTTTTATTCATATGTACCTCTCCATGAAACATTTTATTTTGTCCTTGAAAATAATAAAAATGAAATAAATGAATAAGTAGTATTGTAGAAAAAATATCAAAATTAATCGTTTTGTTATGCCATTTAACGTTATCAATCACACAGGTTATCAGCACAAAGTTTATCGAATAAATTACGACTGTTAACATACGATTTTAAACTTAGTAAATGAGTCATCAGAAATCCAGGAAGGTGTTTGCGGTTTCTATATTGTCATTGATCAATAACATTACCACCTGAAATAGTTTTCATCATGTATATCACTCGGATAAAATTCCACTGGTAATCTACTTCTCTGTTCCTATTGAAATGACCTTATATCAATTCTCATTAATCTGCCCACTGGTGAGGTTATAACTCCCTATGTGAAATTTGTAAAGTTCTGTTAAGCACTTTATCAGTATATTCGTTCTTGGTTGTGTATCGTGGCCAGGGCATGGGAGTTCAGCTTTATTGTCTCTTTTATGACCTTGTATGTCGTGTACAATCTTTATACAGACAAAGCCTCAAACACATTCGAACAATCCTGTGCAATTTTATCTGTTGGACCGAAATGTTTATGTCCATATCGTATCTCAACCACGTTAGATAATTAAATCTAGGTTCTACCGGAACAGTCCTCAGCACTGCACTTATAGTCCGAAACACTTCAATCTGTTCGATAGTGAATATCACCTGTGGTTTTTGATAATAAATGGGTTTTTAACATGATATGAGGTAAATGCTATGAAAAGGAATTGTTTGCGTCAAAGAGTATTGCCTATTTCATCATATACATAATATTTTCTTCTCAATGTGCTTTGGTGTATCTGGGTTTGATATGAAAGATGTTGTTTGACTTCGTAAACACCGTTCATATTTCGCATCGGCTATGGGGTTAAACTGAGATTATATGGAAATGTTGACTTTTCGTTGTTCTTATTAAACGGAAACATTTTTCGAGTGAAGGGAAACCATTTGTATAAACAATAAGCTTAGACTCCCTTGCGTGTGAAGGGCGGGCACAGATAGGGGGAAAAGAGCAAATTCTTTGAAACTCTACTCCTTTTGTAGCACTAATTTGATTTGCCCATATTGGTCTAAAGTATTCGTGGATGAAGGGAAATCATTCTCTATACAGTGCATCCCGGTCATTTGAGGCGGGAGGGGTTAGGCCCAATCGGGAAAATGAGAGTTTCTACAAATCCTTTTTTGTACAAGGTATTGTCAAAGTTTGGTCTGAAGATATTTTTATGATTAGAGACCACCAGGCCCATAATAGGAAAATTATGTCAGAAATCATTTGTCATATTTGAAATTCGTTATTAAATCGCGGAATAGCTAAATAAGCCAGGTAAGCTAAACAGGCCCCTTGTGCCTCTTGTTTATAATAAGCTTAGAATAGATGGATATTCCGTTTGTTAGCAGTCAACTGGTGAACCAGTAGTGGGTCTTAAGTGACTGGTGAGAAAATTAACTGTATCCATGATATGACGTTCAGTTTGATTGCACCAAGATTTATATAAAACGTTTTTGTATTTACTTTCACGTTCATTGATACAGTCTTCTTGACGCTTTATTTATACTTGGGACATTAATCAGAAACCTAAAGAATCTTAAGATACCATTTAAGCTAAACTGTGTCTGAAGTAATGTTTTGTCTGATGATATAAAAACATTTGATCTAGTGTTTAAGAAAGATTAAGTTCATGTGCTGTTCTAAAGAAGGATATCGGATTTTGCTATTACTAAGAGATGAATATAAAGTTATTTCACTTTCCCACAATGACAAATATACATTAGAGATAACATGTTTGACCAAGCATTCACCAGATAGAACAAGGAAGTCATACAATTCTATTTTGAATTCTTGATTACCATAGGTTAGAAAGAGTGAGAAACGTATCATAAGAAAACTAATCGTAAAACTGCACAGTTTCAAAATATTAAATGACCACATCGTTAAAATTTGAAAGTAAGCGTTGATCGATAAATTTCATAACCAGGATCGATTGCCTGCTGAAATGGTCAGATTTGGAATGTAATTCTAATGTAAAACTAATTCTGATTTAAAAGAAATATTGAATTTAGAATGTTGCTTATTAATGTATTGATGCTGGAAGTATGGTACAAAACTCTGGTTTCGATCTCAACATTGATATGAAACTGAAAATCATTGCCATAATTCAATCAACGGTAATTATGCAAAATTCCAAAACTGTATATAAAAAAACTGTTTTCTGTGTTAAAATGAAAGTGTATGTTCTTATTGTCAGAAGTCGCTCGTTGGAGGACATGGAATCTTAGTATACTGGACCACACGCGTGAACATGTTTAAGATTTAGCATTATCAAATTAAAAACTGATCGACTCCCCGTATATTATTGTTGCTTAAAACCGAAACTTGATTTCAGATGTTGTAAAAATGAGTTAGGAAGTAAAGCATAGAAATATCTATATCCAATCTGAGACTATTGTGTTTTGAGTTGATCTTCAATTTTTTAGAGGCAAGTCGACAATAATTATTGTGTTAACTAAATCACAGGTATAGGAATTGATATGAGTGTTCTGGTATTTATTGTTATAATAGAAACGATTAAAAGAAATACAGAGCTGATAAAAATGATAAAATTTGAATGTAATGAAAATATTAGTAATTAATATAATGATACTATTGACAATAACGATTTTACAACTGATCAGAATGTATTCCCACTGAATTAGATGATCTGACCACACGGTAAAACTGGGTTCGACGCTCACCTTGAAAACTTATTTATTCATTTTTTGATTTTGTTTCGTATTTAATTACTTAATTCTTTCACTTGATTCTAATATATTTTCTATGAAATTGGTTAAATACCAAATTATTTACTGAAATCATTGTCCACCACGACAGCTGGGTCGTGTGTCACCCGACCCCTTAGCCATTATTAGAATACTTTAAGATATAACATTTCTTAGACTGTTGCATACCAAATACACTATTAAGTTAATACTTCTTAACGGTTAGCTTGTAATTATAGAAGTAAAATTTTTTAAAAATGAAAATAAAAATTAGAAATGAGAAGTATACGAAAAAATTGTAAAAATTAATATAAAAAAGGGTGAAAAATTTATTTCGTACTAATCTCTTTCCGAGTCTGAGTCATAACTAAATTATTGCATAGCAAGTTCGCTGCTCATTTGTCGACTAGTTGTCAAATGTCAAACAACGAAAATCAATAAGAGCGTTAACCAATAGATGTCACAAGGAAGTTCAGGTATGGGCTACTGGGCTGTCTATCTCATTCGATATTGACACAACATTTTCTGTCAACCAGAACAAAGCAGATATACGGTTGATAACGTCAATCTACCAAAGGGTCACCTCTATAAATAGTTCACGTTAGGTAGCGATTACACATTGTTGCTCTGTTCAACAGACACACAATGAATCAATTCACGTCCGAAACAGCAGTGTAAATTGGACTTTGTATAATTTACTTTTGATTATGGTCATTGTATTGTCTATCGAACGAATATTAGATAAAATCAGACATAAAAACTGGATTGTTATGTGTGTTAAATCAGTTGCCAATTGAAACAATGGCGATGCTTTTGCTACTCAGTGTGTTGTCAATTGTGGCGGTAGGAACCGTAGCATTTAAGCCAACCATTGGTCAAGGAGACGACCCATCTATGTATACTCATGAAAGTATCACACTGGAGGGTATTGACAAGGCCGCTGCCGATTTCCTGATGTCAAATGGCTTTGTGAACACTACGAAAACGAATCATTATGAGATTGTCAAGGAATATTTCGGATCGGGTAAGTCATGTACTCATTGCAAACATCGGTTACTTATTTGATAGTTAATGATAATGTTCATAATCAACTTAACAATTTTTGCTTATTTGTCCGAACATGATTCATGTTGAATGATAATGTACATCCGGAAATCCATTTCTCAATATAATTATTTTCTATAAACGACTTTTCATTGACCGAAGGGCCCAGAATCAATCACGGTGACAAGTTTCATTAAATCTATGGGTAAGTTATCAAGAACTGCAGGATCCAAGTGTTTGGACAGAGACATGCTGGTATGGGTCGATATCAAATTCCAATTGAACGAATTATTCTAGTTAAATCCGTTATAATATTAAAATGGCTGACGATTTACTACAATGTTAACGTCCAGGTGTCAAAATAGTTTACTTGTAATAAGTTCGCTCGTTGTTTATAAAGTTACCATTGTTGACCTCTCAAAAAATCAGCTTTTTACTTTATAATTATGATAATTAATATAATGTAACAGTATATACACATTTTCAAACCTATTTTATTCAATTTGACATTAGGTTTTTACATATTGCCATTAAAATCATTACATATTTATTCTAGTTTTAATTTGTTTCAATTCTAATCTGCGAAAATTGTATGAGAAATTGCTATTTAAATATATTTATACTTAACTAGTGTTTACAACAATTGCGAAACAAGTTATTTCAACTTACAATAATCACCCTTGTTGACCCAGGTACTGTATATGGATACAAAAGTATCCGGGAAGTGGGGTTTCCAGTTGTTTGGCAGGTGGCCGCCTGCTTTTAGGCGTTTATCTATGGAAATCACTACTTGTTTGTCTTTTGCATAATTATTTTTAAAACGGAATTCGACATGTGGCAAATAAAAAGTATTAGTGTTTTAGTAAAGTGCCTTGAACTTATACGCTAACAATAACTTATTTTAAATATTCTGGAGATTTACGTACTATTTTGCTGTTGTGATACTCTAAACTTCTGGAGTGTTTCTGAATATTAATTGAAATCCTAGTATGCTGAACCTTTCATAATTATAATTGCATATCTATTTATCAAATTTTGTAACACATCAAGCAGACTGGACTAAAGAAACAAGTAAAAAATCACAGAGCAAATGTATAATGCGATACAGTATAATCAACTAATCAATAAACATGTATCGACCATCCAAGACTTTTCAGTTATGCCTAATGGCCTAAAGAGGCGAATTTATTAGAATGAAACTTTATCACAAAAACGTCTGAGGTTGAAATCTATATGAGAAGATGCACAAGGTCACACTACAAATTTAGAATTTTTGAAAATCCTTCAATCACATTACTGGGGAAATACTCTCCTTTTCTCGATGTCTTTTTCTCACCTTTCCCTACATGGTCCACTGTGTTCCAAGTCGACATCATAATTACCCTTACCCGTCTTCGGATGGGCTATACATACCTCACATATTCATATATGTTGAAAGGCGGAGATAATCTTTCATGCATAGGATTTGATGAGCCATTCACTGTTAAACATTTTTATTGGACAGCATTGACCTTAATATAATAATAATAATATACTAAATTGATATATCTAATTCGTTAGGATTACACTAAAGCGCTTTACATAAAATAACATAAAAAATTAAGCATAAAAGTATATCGTTCATTATCCATCAATGTAAAATGTCCATCACAAAAAACCTTCTGTTATGAATATGACGTGCCATTTTAATAATTTGTGATGATATATTTAAGATTTATAACATTTGTTTTTTGTCTTTTAGTTTGTTTGATGTTATTTCCGTTTTGGATCACTGTATGTTTCTCCAGTTGATGGGCCTAATGTTTTTTGTCGTGTTGACAGGCCATTCAATATTTGCCAATTAAATTTTAAAATGGTAATGTTATAAATCTAAATATACCATAAACTATAGTATGTGTAGTGAATGACCTCTAAAATAGTTTGAGCACGTCATCGGTTAGTCCGTTATCAGCATTATGTTATCATGTCATCAAGTGTATTGCTACCGTGTTTAGGTTACACATGTCCGTACAGAGGTTATTTAACGTGACTGGGAGATGACACTATCTATTGTCGATACCCTTTTCACACGAAGTTATCTATTGCCCCAAGCTAACAAGAAGTATTTTGTAACATGTTCTTTGATTCAGTGTGGTTTATGATTATATATTTCACTACATAAATATATAAACGGATATAAGATTTTAAATACGCAGAAATTATATATGTTATATACAATAGGCTCCTAGTATCGGACATGAACTTATTTTCAAATGTATTCGACCAAATCAAATCCAATTCAGTGAACAATGGAAATAATAAATTTTATCGTTATGATTGCATTCTTAACGGCCCGTCAACACATAAAAGTTCATTATGGCCATCAACCGGTAAAACACAGCGATCCAAAAAGGAAATAATATCACACAAAGTAAAAGGTAAAAGACAAGTGCTAAAAATTCGAAATGGAAATACACTTCGAACAACAGTTACATAGTTTTAAACTCCCAACAGAAGCGACACATCTTGTCTTCGAGTAACATATGAAACACATTGTCTAACCCGGAAACATAGGTGTATCTGGAAAGGTACCAAATTTGTTTAGTAGATAATAACCAGGTGGGATTGGCGATATAACTCTGAACATAAAGCGTTGTGAAAACCAGGAAGACGAAATAAACTAAGCAAATAGATTATAAATTCAAAACGATTAAACGCTTATTCAATAGGAGGGTGTTTCGTGTTGGCAGGACAAGAGTGGCATGCTATAACAAGATCCGGTTAACTAAGAAACAACGTGTACGCCATTCCCAAAACTATATTTATCAACAGCCCTGCATATCGTCACGTCTTCATTCTTATCGGAAGTTACGCTGAAAAGTATATACACATTTCCATGACTTTAAATGACATCGGATTATATCGATAATGGGATTAAAAATTTCAATCGATTCTTAAGAGCCTTTTTTATTTTCTATTATCAATTCTTAAGCGTGCATTAGCTAAAGTCGAATTCTCTGTAGCTCGGCGTATGCTATACACACACATACATATATATATATTGAAATGCATGTAAAATAAGAAGTGATCGGGTGTCGCGCTCGCATTTTACCTGAGGTCGATTCTCTGAGCTGACGTGAAAGGTATGGGGATATCACCTCCCCCTCCCCACCGTACCCGGTACTCTGGTTTCCTCCCAAAATAGGTCAACAAGAGTTGATTTCAACTAGCTGATATATTGTAGAATTGATTGATAGTGTATGTATCTAAAATGCATTTTTCCAGTTGAATTCGACATACTTATCCATATGTTTGCAGCGTTGTTTGTACTTTAACTTAGTGAATGTACCCATATTCTAGATACAAAGAGTTACCAGGACTACCAACAAAGAGGTCACGAGTTTGCTCTAGCTGTAATGAAAGTTTACAAAAGTTATCATTTGAACCCGGATTACACTGTCAATTCTGAACGGATAATTGAAGGTTTGTGAACACTAATATATATTAATGATTGCGCAAATTTCAGTTTCTGTATACCGCTCACATAGCAATCATTTTGGTGAAAACGGTATATTAAGATGCATTCCTGTTGCTGTCTCGTGATCACGTGATAAACTTATTCTGACGTTATTTGTTTGTTCATATTTACACTTGAACATTTGTTTTGTTTGATTAGAATACTAACTAAATTCGAGTATTTCCTTGTTGTAATGATGTTTCTGGCTTTTTATAACTATAAAACAGCTGACAGTCTTGTCCAGTCAACACGATTACAGATTGCATCCATCCTATCAAATGGAACGTTGGAGGATGCATCCACGGCACTTTTGATCGATAAAGTGGGGAAATGTTTGATGATCATACAGTCGTTCTACAGCAACACAAATTGGATAGAGATGATGGTAGATGGCGGAGAGTCCTTTCTGACATTTGGTGAGTATGTAATATGTATAAGTGAGAATAGTACATGGATTTTACATGTATCTCTTGCTTCTCCATCTAGTTTCGTAAAGGCCCTGAGTTTGAGCAAAATCATAAAGTTACATTTACTTCTACTGATCACGGTTAAGGATATCTGATTTTGAGGAATCTGATATAGTCTTGGCTCAATAGATTTTAATATACAATAACGACTGAGAAATTGATTCATATTTATAGATAAGAATATTTACTTTTGCACTGAACACCGTCCTGATTAACTTACGAAGCAAAACGTATTTTATTTTCCACTAATATATCAATAATGTGACGGTAATACACCAATGGTTTTAACAAGTATATATCTAAGAATTCTTTTAACAATTTTATTAAATTTGAGGAGCTGCCATTTTGATATACTGCGTCAGTTTCCAATGACACCAGCAAAACAACCCCCTCCCCATAGAGGGCATTATTTCAGTCTTTTAATTAAGCAAATTGCCAAGACTAGATTATCTAAATGGAAAATGTAATAAATGAATATGTTGTCAGAGGTTCAATATTCATTGATATATCGTTTTCTGACATTAACTTACCTACATATTTAACATTGTGCTCAACTTGCTCAGCGCAGCAAAAAGTTATATGTATGTCAATATATGTTACACACCAATGGATGTAAAGACAAACAATTACATGTAAATTGCAAATAATATTTGAACATTATTTTCAGTCATTTATTATCTATAATACAAGGAAAATCAATGGATATGAGGCGGTAAACAATATACATATAAAAAGTGCATAATTTCTATATATTAACTACTTTATAAACATTTAATATTACTGTGTTTGGTACTTTATGGGTTTTATTGTGTCTGGTTTACGTAATATATGAAAGATGTCTTTGTCGCGACCTATTTATGTTCCGTTATCTGAACTTGTAGGGACCCTGGCATCAACTCATCAGAACGTGGTCGCCACAGGAACTGCAACTTGCCGCAACTGTGACGACAGCATCCCGAAGTAAGATATTGGTTGAATTTAGATATCAATAAATGTTGTATGAACATGGTAAATATTTGACATCTAAGGATACATTGAGAAGTGTTCTCAACTTTAATTTCCTTTATATAACAATAACTTCAACTTACACAAAAACACGGTAGTAATAAATAATAAATATACATATTACTTGATAAGATTGTACTTCTTGCCCGCTTTGTAAGTCCTTATCTTCATTGGCAAGTCTTACAAGGACGAGGTCGAGGTGTGATGCTGTTTAATTAAATATGGAGAAAATTATTACATTATTTATGATATAAATAACGTTTTTTTTATTTAAGTATGTGTATGAATGTAAGTTTTTGGTTGTTTTGATTGCTGATGTTAGATATTTTGTGAAAACTAGACAAAAACCATATTCGGTAAATCTTACTAATCAATTCTCATGGCTATTTTGTATTCTTTTTTTAGTAATTAAATAAACCAAGTCAATACCCAAACAAACACGTCACACTTAAATTCAAGTTGCCAATTTTTGGCACACAGCCACCTAGAAACGTACTAATTTTGAACATGGTGTTTGTTTTGCATATCTGCATGTCAAATATGTTTTAATATCCATTTTTTCTACATTTCTATTTATATTATATTGTATAGCAGCACAGTACGTGATTAAATCCGCATGTGTAAGACATTCAATTAACTTCATTAATTCATTAATACCTTACACATGCGGATTTAATAACGTACAGTACTGGTACAACAAACAATACAAGTAGAAATGTAGCAAAAACGGCTATTAAAACATATTTGACATTCAATTAACTTCATTTAAAAAATGTGTAAAAAAAAGTCTTTTTCCATTGAACACAGTTCTTTCCCTATTTTAAATATACATCCAGTACATTAATAAACGGTACAAACATCATTTTTTTCTATTTGTGTCATTTTAGCTCGTGTAACAACAATTTGTTGGTTAAGGATCGTCTAACAAGTGGATATCTGTATAGCCAGTCTTCCGTCCCAAAACCAAAAGGTGAGTCTAATCAAAGTTATTACTGTTATCATTATTGTAAATCATGTGAAACATGCTTACGAATTTAACTCAAACAAGCGACAAACCGATCGTTTGATGGTGTTATACATTGATCACTATATTTTGCACAAAAATACTTTTATTAGTTTTGTAGATTCCCAAGTTATTGTTTGCAAGAAGACACGGCCTCAGTTCTATCAAAGTAAACTTATATGTACCACGGATTGTACCATTCAATAAAACATTCATAGGTACTACATTACCACACCCGATAGTTGTTTCTAACCTTTCTTAGGTTTCCGTTATTTCCTGGTTTGTTTTTTTTATCATAAAACCACTTTAGAATCAGTCTTCATATTAACTTAGCTGTTGTAAGGCTGATAAACTCAAAACAAATGAACTTTAAGTCTGAAATATTCCAAGTGAAATGCCGTATCCAGATATCATGATCTGTTCCTTAAACCTGTGATAAGTAAACCATTTAAATGTGATATGACAGACCACGTAAATTTCCCGAATTTGTTACAGCCTAGCAACTCGTGAGATAAGCCCTATTCATATGACATCAGCTGTTGCGACAACGCAAAACACATGATAAACAAGCGAACAAACTTTGTGATTGGCTGTCTTATCATGTATAGTATCACGGTCGTTTACCTTCCACGAATGACGGGACAAATTATGGTCAATTTTATAGGAGTCACATCGAAAAGACTCGTACGATAGCATTACGCATTTTCCGTACTCCATTACTGGAAATGTGCTTAGCTGTCCTCAAGCCACTCCTTAAAACGATATCAATTTCAGTACAACTCGATGGCCCGACAGTTCATGGTTTTTTCAAAGGTTGTCCATTAAACTACCTGTTTCGGCATTCGTTTCCGAGAAAGGCGATCACGAACTCACAGTCTTAGTTCTGGTTTCTTTTTGCTGTGTTTTCTCAGCTTCTTTGGCAAGTGATATATTGGATGATGTCAGTAATAAAACTTGTTAACAATTTGTCAGGACTTTCTTTTTTGAAAGACACTTTCTAGTATTTCTTCGTTTGTAATACTTGTCTGTCTATGACAGTTCGCTGTTCTGTTATCACGCGGGCTTAGTAATTTATTGGTAAACGTGTCCCGCGCTTCACGTGCAATATCGTCTTTCCTACACCCCGACACATGAAAGATCCGACACCAATAAAACTAAATGCCAGTTCATTTGCCGCATAAGAAGTTATGAAATACCTATGTCTCATGACGTGATCCAGTATGGCCGATTTCGCATTATTGAAAAAATTGTCGATATGTTACTTTTGTTTTAAAAGGCTGAGTTAAATAAAATTATTTCGAAGAACATGAATAATTTCCTTATGAATGACTTCCAAAATGAAGATGAATGAATAAATTGTCGCCAATACCTAGTTCTAGTTGGTCGAAAGTTAGCTTTAATATTTACATACTTCGATGAAATTTGGCACGCATTTCGACATTGCAGGAAGAGAGGAAGAGATATTCATGTTGCTCGATCTCGATGAAATATTTGCCATGATAGATAGACATTCATTATTTCCTCGTAAATCGAGATTGATACAGAAAAAATAAGAATATTCACACTATTTCATGAACGCCGTGCATTGCGTCGTTTTTTTTTATTTGGCAACTTAAAAGTCAGTCATTTCATGGGACATTGTGTTCATAGTTTGTGAGAGGTTGATCATCAGATTCCCCCAGATAACATCTGTAACATGTAGATGTATAACACTACGATATCCTGAAAGGAAACTACACTGCTCCTGCTCATCGAAACACAATAATGTTAACTACCTGATCAAACAACAAATCCCTACTTTTGTATAACTTTTGACATAGTATAAGGAAATGAAGAATTATATCGTCTGACTTCTTTCCACACAACCGACATATCAACCTCTTCGTCACATAAAGAAACGACATTTTCACCATTTCAGTTATTTCCCACGCAACCACAAATGATTTTCTCTTACTTAGCTTTAACACCGGATTATTTCCTTATAAGAATTAATCTTTGCGTATCTGTGCAACTCCGGCCTACAGCTCATATCTTCGAGCCATTGTTGATAAAAAAATCGTTCAAAAAACGTTTCAGAAAACGACTCTAGCATGCTTTGGAAGGTACGAACTCGTTGAATATGAAATCATTCACAAAAGAAACTATTCCAAACTTCTGAAAAATATAAAATATATCAGGTATGAAACCTATTCGGACGTTATAGCAAGGTCCATATACAGCATCCAAGAGACGTACAAGGAATATGGCCTTTCATATATATGAAATGCTACCGTTACATAACTTGTTCCAGAACATTAACTTCTGTGTATTCATCGCATTACATATTGACTGTATACCAAGTGATTGGGTAGTTGCCAAAGTTGATGATGATTTTGGAAGACCAGGGCATCCTCTACAGGCGTATCTTTGTGTTTTCACTAACTATAAAATAACATTTTTCGTTTAAGAGTTCCACAATTCGCAGCTATACAGCATAGTTGGTAACACTACAAGGTTTACAATGTTTTCACTAATTAACGGGTGCATTCCATTTTGATGGATTCCGATTCCTACCAATGTGTTAAGTCATTTCTTCCTCTTTTTACTCACTTCAATCCTTGAACAGGTCGAGTTGATATTTGAGGTAAATCCTATGTCTGCATACGTTTTTTTGTTGTTGTCCACTGTATTTCCTTATTTCCAAGAGTTAACCTCCGTCAGGGAGATCCTACACGCGATCGGCAGGCGGAAAATGCCATCAAAGAGCTTTTATTGTGGTTGTATGCAAGTCTCCATTTACAAGAATATTTGTAAACGATATCTAGTTAATTTTTTAGCAACTGCAATGATGCGGCAAGATCGAGTGTGTCATCAGCCAGTAATATACAGGGTATATGAATGTTGCTTATGCGTAAACCAAAATGGCCAGCGTCAAGGCGAGGTCATCTATCATTACCAAAAAGCACCACGCTGACAACACGCGAGCTTGACCGACTCCTTGCAGGATTGGGTACTGATCACTGCGTCTCCCGTCGTACGAGACAGTAGAAAATACATAGCAGAAAGAGTCGTATAAAAGTCGCCAACATTTGCCATTGATGCCAAGGCGGTACAATTTAAACATCAGCCTACGAATCAAAAAGGCGCCAAACACTTTAGATTTTCTTTCCAGATCGCGATCGATTATTTCACGGCAAAAGCAGCGGTGATACTACTACATTGTTTATGGAAGCACTGCTGTATCGGGTGAGGAAATATAGTACCTTTGTAACACAGATGCAAGTGTTATGTCCCTGTCAAGTCGATAACGCTTCCCACACTTGAACAGGGGTATGACCACACCCAATTTGACATGGTTTGGGTACATTTCGAATTTTAGCATCCCATTATATAAATCGACTAAGGCATCTATCACACGGCGAATTTGATATGTTCCGTCATGATAGAGTCGTGACCACTAGCCTTTTCATTTTCCATGTCCATAACATTGCGTTTAAGTTCGCCTGAGGTTATGAGGTAGCTACAAATATTGTCTTCATAGGAGAAGCTAGCAATGTGAATGGATTCAACAATTCTACGTATTCCTTGAAACTGCTACTAAATTGGGGTCGACGTGTTGGCTTGGCTAATTAGCTGAAATTTTGCATCCAGGGATTCCTCAATTTATCAGGGTCCTGTATAATTTTATGGTCAACACGAAGTTCATGTGATGTTACATTTCTGTTGTTAGACAGCTTCCTCTTTGTTCTAATGTCGATATTAGCAAGTTTTTCGAACTGCTTGCGCTCATATTCTTCACGTGCTTTGACTAGTTCAGCACGAAACATCATTTTAGCATCTTTACAGTTTCCGTATGTGGTACCCTGATTAAGTAATTAAATATTAAATAGTTGTATTTAATAAATAGTAAATCCTGTACGGTAATAGTTTAATGCATACACGTATATTATCTCTTACTTCAGATGTCCAGTTGTTTGCATTATGTATGGTGAAGTAATTGTGTAGTGCGTTCGATAACGTATTGTAAAAGTATGTTTATGCGCTCGTATTGTATAGTCGTGTTTTTGTTTTTTAGGGATTTTTCGTGCCCGAAATAAATTTGAAGCAGACAACCTCGAGTCAGACGGTTTTTTTTTTAAATAACCCTAATTTCACACATATGACATGAATTGAAAACCTCTTGGCCGCCATTCGTTTATTCAGATTACTCGTGTCTCATAGTAGTATGTAGAGGCTTCACATTGTAATCTATCCAATACGGATTTAGATAATGACGATACCTTAACGGCTTGGTTAGTGCTATTACTACCGTTGACGTCGAGTAGGTGGTCCTCCATCAGCTTATCTACTAGCCTTTTGTATTCCATGACGTTTTCATCGGTGACTTTTTCGAGTTCAAGCTACGAGGCGACACATTGCTAGCATGTTTAGTAGATTCAACGAATATTATACTGCGCTCCGGAATATGATCTGGTACATTCAGGTAGTGATCGTTTCGAAGTCCGGTTTGGTTGTAGATAGAAGTATATGATCTATCATCGATGCACGGGTTCCGTCTACATACATATGGTATGATCAGGACCACTGGCCCAGCTTTTTGAGTTCAGCGACACCAAAAATCGGTCTCTCATAAATTGTCCGATAAGTTTTCCACGATCGTTGAAGTCAACGTAGTTTTTTTTAACTAAATCCTTTAGACAAATGAGCGTTGAAATCACCTATTATCATGACACCACCATTTCCTGCATATCGATCATTAAATATCGCACAGTTCTAAGCTTTCAGAATAAGCTCCCAATTACGAATTTGATGACGGCATTAGGACTCCAAATATTTAGATATCTATGCCAGATGCGCGTACGTATCTTTACGTTTCGTTGGGTCAACGTTTATTCGAGCATCAGATCTGCGTGAAAACTATTGTCGATACTGTGTGCGAAGTCTGAACTGTTCTGGCATCAACCAATGTTCACAGACAAAAGCCGCTTCACCTTTACCAAGTCCTTGACATACGTAGGGTGTGCCGAACATAATACTGTGTGTGTTCTAATTGTAAATTCGTATAATAAAATATACGCTTACAAGTAAAACGAGGGTCCTTATCTTAGTAGCCATTATATTCCGCCTTGTTCCCTTCACGCCGAGCGTCCTCATAGCTGAGGTCACACTTATTACGTCAGTGCGACCAATCCTCCCGATATCGATCATCGGTTTTCCCATCAAAGCGACTGTTTATCGTCAGCCGTCCTTCCTAAGTTGCAATAGAAATAGCATAATTATAACAGCAGAGGCAGTTTTGAAGATTTGTTTATGGTCAACGTTGCAGTTAAAACTAGTTCCCTTTTGCTTTAATGTCATTTTGCTAGGATATACTGTGCAACTTAGAATCATATCTTCCATACACAGGTGATCCTCGTGCTACTGAGGGTAAATGCAGTCATGGTGGAGTAAATGACTTCGGTAGGAATACTCCAGCAACAGGAGGGATAAACAAAGAAACACCAGATTGGAACTGGTCCCCACATGCTCATCTACACAACATGTCCGGACAAACTGCCGTTCAAGCGACGGCAGCATTCTTCATAGACGCAAGTATGGTCCGGTTATTTATCTTTATAGCAGAGATGATATGGAAATAACTTTGTCCTAATTTTGTTAAAATCTTGATGTGTATTCAATGCGTTTTTGCGCCACTGAATAAATAGATTTGATTGTACAAAAATACACGTTTTAATAGAAATTAAGATAAAGATACAGCGAATTATAACCTAGGATCGAACAATTTCTACACTTGGTCATCCGTCAGTGTGAAAGTCCAGTCTTAATCAATAGTGAAAACGATATTGCTTATAAATAAGATATCTGTTTTATAATCCTTGACCTTTTTAAACTATCATTGTTATATTGTTGATTATTTGATCCTGGTTTCCATTATATACTTTTTAACCTTCCAATCTGTTATCCAACCATGATTGTTCCGTAAAGTTTGTGCTTCTTCTTAACAACTATATTAAATTTCACTAATGAATTATTATACTTTATTGAAAGGCGATATTCACTAGGTTTTCTGTTATGTGTCGTTTTGGTTCTAAAGTGTTCATTTATAACAGATTATTATCCTTAATGTTCCCAAAATGTATATATTTGTTTTACATATGACATATGGCTAATATTTGGTTAAGTAGTATTGTACTCGTTGGAAGTCGTCCTTGATTATGTTAATTGATTATATGACTAAAATGTACTTTATTTCAAAGCAACGGGATTGCTGTCTGGTATTGGGCAAACCATGATGATAGACGTCTTTAAACTGAAGAGACAGGTACATGAGTTATCTATGGGTTTTGTGATTGACGTCACTGGGTCAATGGCTAATGACATAAATTCTGTGAAAAACACACTTATCGGCTACTTGTCTGCAGCCATTGGAACTCCGAATGCACCACACAAATACGTTTTGTCAACATTCAGCGACCCCGGTATGTAATATTTCAAAACCTTACTAAATGTCCTAAACCTATAGCGTATGAAGTTCCGTGAATTACATTGTGTCGTCTTCACTTTTCCACGTCACATATTTTTTACGTCACAACAGAAACGGCTTGGGCGAAAATAACGCCAGTTTCAGATTTTATAACATTGCATGTGGGTTTATTTTACAGAAAATATATCCAATCTTTTCTCAGTTTTGCGATAAATAAAACCAATATTAAACTTGTTTTCATCCTTTTTACTAAACTCGTCATAATCGTTTCCTTTTACACCCCCTGAATCTCGGTTATATATGCCTCAAATAATACGCACTCATCTTAAATCCACTATGTCTTTCCTAAACATTTAATAAAATGGTGGTCTGAATCTAGATTGAACGATTTAGCAACATCACGTCACGAAACGGTGGAGGATCGGTTGTTATAATGCTGAGAAAACATTTCAAGATTATATTTTCGAAATCAACAGATAGTATGGTAATACTTAGCATTCGGTATCTCGTGCTAATTAATATATTTTAACATTTTGAAGTAATGGATAACGCAGTTTAATATTTAAAGAAGGAATAATTAATAATTCTACATTATTCTTTTCAGTAGGATTTTGATATTTGATTGGCGTCAAATACAAAACAATAAGTTAAGCCCGAATTTCGAATTTTACAGCAAACCTTACCACACTTTTCGTTACAACTGACGGCCACGAAATGATACAAAGGATAGAAAGACTGACAGTAGGTGGAGGAGGCGACTGTCCAGAATACACGATATCTGGGGTATTAACAGGTAGTGTAATTTTTAAAACTCATCATTTTCATATCAACAACAATCGTATTTATTCATCATTAGATCATAATAACAATTTAAAAATCAAAACAATACAAGAAAATATTATAAGATGACCGTTTGAGGTTTAATCCATTTAATGACGTCAATTTGTGAATGTAACTGGAGAGAATATACTTAAAAGTTGTAACACTATAGGATTTCAATTTATCAATACCTTTACTTTGTAGCTATCAATGCCTCGGATCCATATTCCCTTATCTATGTTGCCACTGATGCTGATGCCAAAGACGCTAATATGACAGACGACGCTATAACAGAAGCAAATGCTAAGCATATCACTCTTCAATTCATACTCACAGGGAATTGTTCTAGCGCAAGTCGACGTCGCAGAGGTATATTAACGTCAACATATTGTAAATATTAACATGGTTTATGCAAGGTGGTCATGAAATCCCAAACAAGTAAACATAACAAACAAACCTTATTGCGATAAGAAAACGATATCTTTCCTCTCTCACACATAGTATACAGTTTGAAGCTGAGGTTAAACTTAAAACCTAGACCTGTTTTGTATTAATATAGGACAACTTTACTATTAATAAAACACATTTCCTCAAACGATAACTTCCAAATGAGCTTAAATCAGTTCGTTATGCAATTTAACACTGTTCTCGTTTCGAAACATCTACGGCGGCTCTATCTCCGTGTGTTTCCACCAATGCAACGTAATAACACAGCCAATAGCACACCGGAAGTATTGTTACCTTTAGCTGTTGTGATGAATAACATCGACATGCTGAAGTTGCTTGGTTCACTTCAGTGAATGTATTTTCATTGTGCCTTCTGACAGTGGAGCAGGACATGCTGCCCCGTTCTATATTGTTAAACTAATGGCTGTCGGTGAAAAATATACAAATAGTGATTCAGTGATGTTTTATCAGATTTTCAACGAAACAAAGCGTTCGGATGTCGATCAATTTTAGTAAAAAATATTCTCCATTCAAAGGTGTTCTTAAATCAGTTAAAAACAACAATGTGTCACTTTAATAAGCTCATTAACTAGAATTTAAAAGAATGAGATACATATAGAGAATGATCAATTAAATGAGATTAAAGAGCTTCTGCCATTGGAATACGTCAATGTTTGCTATACATCGGATTAATACTCTTTCTTTTCACTTGAAATCGATTTTGATATATACATTGATCTATGGTTGAATGATCAGAGATAAATCTACTAGTTACTAAACAGGATTTGTTTTCCCCAGAAATACACGTCCGACAAACAAGAAGTGTATTCTCAGACCTTGCCCTGCATACTGGAGGCCATGTTTATCATGTGGATCATAGCGAGGTTACCGCAACTCTTGATCATGTGCTCGAGGTAGGCAAAAAATAATTGTTTTCATCGCTCACGGGGCCCCCAACATCAAGGGCAGTCATGTCAGGTTTGGAAAGAAACATATAGCTACTACTTTAATGAAACGTAATTGTTATATTTAAATGCACAAAATGTCATGGAGATTACCTGCTCGTTTAAAAGATAATTAAAAAATGGACAAGCGCAAAATAGAGCCTGGTATAATGTGTTATATTAGGAAATGTATATTCAACTATTCTTTCTGTTATATGATATATTTTTTATATAAAATGTTCAGTTAAAAGGGTAATTAATCAACAAAAATTATATTGAATGGAAGAAATTTGTATCGTCGTTTTTATTAGTGCACCTCCCCTCCGGTTTTGGGAATATTTTATGTATTTTGATGTCAACGATTTAGGACTCTTCGAATCACTGGTGTTTTGCCCGAAGAACGAAACCGCTATACATATTTGCTATGGATCATGTGACATTTTGTCAATATTCCGTTGTATCCCATTATATTCATTATTTAGATGTTAGAAATTAAAGTAAGGAATCTTTTCTAGATAAAGAACACATGTGTAATGTAAAACCGTATTCACATTTTTCAGAAAGATTTTCCCTCCTCAGAGGCGATCATTGATTACTTCGTCCAGACATCCACGGACAGCGACACAATGAACATCACTGCCGATAGTGAGGCAGCCGTTCTCGTCGTAACCATAGAAGGACCGTTCAGCGAATACCAGGCATCGTTGTATCTTCCAAATGGTAAATGATATTTTTGTTGTTGTATATTCGTTAAAATATGACGGGACTGTTTTCTTCAATTCAACCATACAAAGTCATCACATTGTTTAAAACATATATTTTTATTTTGTTTCTAGTTTGTCCTTACTAATGACAATAAATTGTGTATACAACACAGACAATATGATGTTTTCTAGTTTCCAGGCTGTACTATTGCTCACAAACACACACACATATATGAAGTGTTGGACAGATTTTGAGAAAAGCTGAAACGGTTGTTCTCGCTTTTCTCACCAACCTTTTCCACGTTGTCAATGGATTTCGTCCATTTGAACAGCGAATAATAATTTATGAATCTTGGGCGGAAGTAGTATTCTCAAATCCCAAATAGGTTCGGAGACCTTGATGATCTTTTTATCAATGTTTTTTTTTAATAATTTCAATATATGTAGCATAGTGATATCCATTTAGTTTATATAAGATAATATACCGCGTATTACATACACTGTTTCTATTTGCGGCTACGTATCTCCGACTTTGTATTAGGGATAGGTTTATCTTTGGAAAATCTCTCCATTTGCTAACCTTTGTAAGTTTTAGTCACGTGCGAGCATTTCTGAATAGAATGGTAACATAATCATATCGTTTTAGGTTAGTTTTTAATACAGGATGTTTATATCTTTCACACTTTAGAAGTTCTTATAACAACCAGTAGTTTTGAGTGTAAAGTATCGACGACCACACGGCTATCTTCACCAGACAGATAACCCCTATGGAGAGTAACAACACTAACGTATGTAGTGTGTGAGATAGTAAGGAATCGACAAACTTAATCGGCTATACTATAATCCTATGTATACTAAGGTAGAAATTAGGGGTTGTCTTTAAAAAAACATATATTCACATAACCAACCTAAGGAAAATGTTCCGAGAATATGTTTTATGTTTATTAACAGTAATGCGATTTTTTCTTTCATTGTAGGTACAGAGCAATCATTCCCTACATCACGTGCTACAAGATACTATTCCAGTCATAAAATTACAATGTCAATTCAGGTATGTTAAAGTTCTCAATACAACTTACGGACTTCATGTGTTACAGCAGTATCCCGGCTAATCTTGAACGTTTTTATTAACCTCCCCAATAAGATTACTTCCTATCCGAAAACAATATTAAATTTTCCGTAAAATATGCTAGCTTTGAAGCATGAAAAATATACACAAGGAATCGCGAAATTCCAAAGTATCGTTCACATGTGAATTAAAAGCGATTAGAACCATAGTGCGTGAGTGAGAATGAAGTATATCCGTAAATAAGCCGGTAGGCCGCATGAGGGACATCTGTCTTATATAACAGACGTCATTGCCAATACTTACATCACGATTTTGTTTATCTCTTTCGCCCAACAATTTATCTTTTGTGATAATATATAACCTAAGAACCTTTTATGGGTTGACGGGCCGTTAAGAATGTTACAATAATGATAATACCCAGCAATGCTATACATGGGGTGGAGATCTAAACTGTTGTCAGGCACATTTACCTATTGTATCCCACCTTTCCTGCCCTAGGAGGCCAAGATCCGCAATTTATACCAAAACATGATTCACACCAAAGTTGGCGAAAATAGCCCCTCCCCCCGGGGTATGAGTGAGACGCTTTCTTTACCAATAATGATAATTTAGGTCCAAATAATAATGATTTCGGATTCCAAATTTATAACTCCATGAGATATGTTTTCTTATGGTAATGAAAAATTAAATGTTTCTAAACGTATTTTGTGCTAAGAAGCATCTGTATCTTTTTGGATATACTTGGGTAAAATCTATGACTGTATCTTTAATAACTTGCCTGCTCAAGTCAGATGCGTTTGAAAATTGGGAAATTTATTGGAGTATAGGTCTATTGTTACTATCCATCAAGAATTCGATATTTCTTTCGAACAATATCGATTTTCTACATTCGCCTCATAGGTTTCAAAATTTACACCTTAGTTGAAGAAAATCATATGCTAAGCATATATTACAAATTTCGCAAACAACTTCCTGTAAAATATAGATGATTCAACTAGTTCATGTTTGAAATTTCTACTATTTCAAGTTCGCTTTGCCTGTAGTTTAATGGGATTTGATATTTACTATCATAATTTTACTACAAAACACGAAAACATTTGTATTTCAGTTTTTTCGCGTGTTGAACATGTTTATACATACACTCATGATTATTTTTGTAGAGACCCCCTCCTGGAATTTGGAAATTGACCCGATTAACACATTCCACATGGAAAGTGAATGTGACAGCATCAACCTATTTGGATATCGACAGTCAGCTCAAAGAAGTCGAATATGGAATATCTTATGTAGTGGACCGTAATCCTATAATGGGTATGTCAAGGCTTTGTTAGAATCTCAAATATATACACATTGCTAAGATGTAACATGTTTCAAAATTGTATAAAGTCTTAACAACATGATTATAGAATGCATTAATAGGGAGACAGAGACACATAGCAAGAGTCGCAACGACATCTACATTACGTAAATATTAGCGATATAAAGCTGTTTCAAAATAATATGTATTCTTTTTAGCACAACATGTATTTAAATCATGTTATCGAATATACTTTTATTAGTAAAATCGTCATTTTCTTACAATGTAACTTTCAATTGTGTCGATCAATTACCACAGGTAAGAATTACACTCTGGAAGTCCTCGTCTACAATCTAAACACATCGGCGTCGGGTTTTCATCTGCATCTTTTAGACGAACAAGGAACAGTCATGTATAGTCAACCTGTGAATATAATATTCAGTTCTACAAAAATTACTGGATATATGGAAATCGTTACTCCAAATAAGGTAAAAAGGAAAATACTTTGTGCAATAGTGCTTAAGATGTTGTGTGTGTTAAACTAGCCCATTGGATCCATAGTGGGTTTTTTTCGATATTTGCATAAAACATTATCTCGAAAAGTATATGACTATGTTTAGCATAGGCTGTAGTTGTGCATATCCTACCTCGAATTCCTTACATATCTAATGTAGCCGTCAGCTACATCTCAGACTTAAACATCATTTCTTAAACTTGTCGTGCTACGTTAATGGATTATGACATATTCAACACAGAAATCAGTCAAAATTATGTGTAGTCGACCCTCGTTATCTCGAATTCGTGAACTAGAAGAACCCATTTATGTCTCAGTAATTTGTCGGGCCTATTCAAGATCTTAACTGGAATAACATAATAAGTGGAAGCTTCCTTGCAGTCCTGCCGACTTTGAGGTAACAAAGTCTGAATATATTTTTGTTATTTGAATTTCTATCAAAACTGTATCATTAAGGAGGATGGGAACTTTTTTTAATGTATGCAAGATTGGCTACATATATGCAATCTGTCATTTTGTTTGCTATCGTTTTTTCTAGTAAACAACTAAAGAATATAATTCACACTTCATATTCTGTGTGTTCATGCTTCGCATGTCATTCAACAAGCATGATTATTTTTTTTCTTTCAATGCAAACTTTAAAATAGAGGTTAGAAGATTTTTATTCCGATGTTTTACATTTTATTGCCTAGAACCTCAATTTCACGTTCAAATACATTGTTTTGTTTAATAGAACATGTACCGTTTACTGGTCGCAATGTTAGTTTAAATTTAACAGTTAGAAATAGGACACAGCAAACTCTTCTTCATTTGCCACTTGCCTCCTAACACAAAACCGTTAAAGAAAAATGTCCACCAAGGCTTTTGATAAGCGTGAGAATTGTGGTGTCTGTGCTTTACATTTTCTATTTCTAGATGGTCCCTGCGTCAATGATCTGTTGTATTTAGTTGTCGAATTTGCATTTCAATCAATATCTATTATCTTGTTTCCACAGCTCTTTCAATTTTGATCTTCGATATTAAGTTTGATTCAAGATTTTGCTAAATTGTCAACATTGTTTTGTAATAATAGTTAATTTGTTACCGGTTGATGTGTTTTCGGAGATGATATATCTAACGGAATATTCTAATTTATAATCAAATCATGAAAAGTATTCAGTACTTTGTAATGGTTTAGAACATGCTCTTTCTGGCAATATAACTCTGGTATCACATAGAAGTCATTTAGAGATTGCCCTTCCACAAAATGCGATGTCGATTTCAATGTTGCTCCAAATACCTCTCACGTGACTTGACGCTAAGTGCATATGAACCCAATTGAATTGGTTTTCCGTATGTCTAACTCTGAATTTTTATTATAAGGCACTATTCATATGCATGCCTTTTGTACAATTTTTTTCAGATACCAGTAGGTATATACCGCTGTTGGACGTTTAGGTCCCAAGGTTTCCCGTAACCTGCATGTCACGTTTTAATTCAATTGAATCGTGACTATGAATATACTAATATATTAGAGGTTGTTATAACATTATCCGTTGTATGAAAATCAAGAAATATGCTTAAATATGGGACAACTTTACCCCCCCCCCCCCCTCCAGATTTTGCCTCTTCTTTTGATCACTTTAGATTTCCAGCAGGTACCTTCTAGGCTTTCAGCATTACTGACGAGTCCTAGAAATATGAAACACTGTAGATGAAGTTTTTAACGTTTAAAAACATATTTACTCGCGTCTTTTTTACATTCTATAATGTTTGTGATATATATTATTTTCCTCCTTCAGAGCTTCTATGTACAGTTAAGCGGTATCGATCAAAATGGTTTCCAGTTCAAGAGAATGTCAAGAAAACTTACTACACCTGTTGGTGTGGATTTATATGTGACCCCAATACTAGGTGAGAAAAGCGAACGACTAAACATAATTGAAAGATATAGTGGATTTATCCTGATGTCTAATTTGTGTTTTTGTTAATCAGTCGAGTTTTCAAGGTTAAAATTAACGATGGTGTGTTGATCTTTAACACGTAATGGATATTTCATCCTCTCGATAAAATATCTTTAAACCATTTTTCCTATAACGGTTGGTATAAATTTAAATTTATACCATCATCATCAAGTGAAGGAACCTCTTCTAATATTGTCCTCCAAATTTGATTTGTGATCAAATTAAAAAGATGATTTAGGGTTTTAAAAATGTTAGTGTCCTTGCAACATCCTAAGTCAAATGTGTACATTTGTTCAAGGTACAAAATAAAAAGCAACAGCTAAAAAGGGGGGATTGGTTCTACAAGGTCGCTAATCAATTTGGTCTGTTTAATGCACCCGTGACAGAACATATCTTAATATAGATGTACGCTTATGCAATGTGTGAATTCATCGATGTTTGGGATAAGAGTTCACTTAATAAGACCGTAAAAACAAAACACGTACATATATAATGAACCCTATAACTGTCTCTAAGGACGATTTGATAATAATGTCGATTTCTTTTTTACTTAGAAAGCCACTTTGATTTAATTTTTAAATTTGATTTAAAAAATATCAATAAACAAAAATATATTGATTCTAAATTATATTTTAAAGACAACTTAGTTGAGCACGGACGTTGGTTATTATTTTACATATAATGCCATTCTATATTATTAAATTATATTGATATAAAAATATTTAACCATTGAATTGTAAAATTAAGCAGTTGTCCGAAGCAAATGTCATACTGGTTAATTAATCCAGATAATTTCATTATTTTTTTTCCGTTTATTTCACTTTGGCCAATTCATGCAGGTAATTCATATCAGACTTGTCTGTTTTAATTTCTAGTTGTAAAACTTTCCATAAATTTCGATGAGACAAAACCGTTCCATGCCAGTTAGTGTTATTTTCAATGTAATTATATATATTTTTACAGTTAACCTTGACACCGGAATACCACACAATATTACATATACATTAAGTAACTTGGGCAGATCCACTCAGACCTACACCGTTAGCATCACTGATGATAAAGGCAGGGTGTTAAGTCCAACATCTCAACAACAGATATTGCCTCCTGAGAATTCAACAACTGGAAATTTTCAGATACTAAGTTCCAACGAATTGGAATTTGTGTAAGCATTATTTTGTTATTATAAGAACGGTTTAACACTTGATAGCATATAAAGTAAAATGTATATTATATTATATCGAACTCACTTGAAAGTATGTAACTCACTACGATGACATTTGACAAAATACCATTAATGTTATTTTCCGGTTGTTTTTAGGGAATTACACAGGGATTCTTACCATGTTTTCATATCGTTAATACTTGACTACTTCTACGTTGACTTTTGAGATTGTCACCTGGTCCGTGTCAGGTATTCATGTTTCTGCCATCACAAAGTAGCGACTGGAAGAAAATATGTCGGTATTAATACCACCAAAAATATATATCTGAAGTTAAAACTTGATTTTCAAGAGCGTATATTTAGTCAGGGAATACACGTATTTTCTATTTATCGGAAAATTGTGATAACATACGTCCCAAATTCATTAAATAATTTGCGTACGGTCGTTCTAAATTGTATCCGGGACTTTGATCATTGCACTGGAACATCTGTTTTGAGTTTTAATTTGTTTCAAGATCCGATTAATACTTTGGTCTTTGAAGGACGGCGTTCCTTTGTATCTTGAGAGAGTGCATATGTTTAAAAAGTATGCTTTCGGAAAGGCTGGGATAAGTTTGTGTAGACTTGGTGTGATAGTACGATTGCAGACGCAAACATTTTACCGGCCCTTCACTCTATAACATTGTAATTATTTACAAATTTTCGAAAACTACTAACAGTGATCTTAACGCTGACCCAACAACCCAGAAATTCAAATGAAACATTTTGATGCTGTATAAGTGTGTGATGTTTGATTAGAATCTCTCAAGGAATCAAGCCGCTAGCGCGCTGACAATAATTTGCTAAAAGTAGAAAGTTACCTTTCCCACAAAACGGAAATTGCAAATTTCCTAAAAATTGAGAATTCCTCAAGGAGAGAAGACGCTAGAACATTGACAACTATTACTGATATGGTGAAGAATTGATGGAACGGACAGAGAGGAAAACTATATCCCCAACGATATCATCGTACAAGGGACCAATAAGCAACATACCAACGATAAAATGGAAACATAAAGGCATAGAAAATGTATATTTTTAATTATTATGTACATTTGAATCAACGAATCAATTAAAATGATAAAATTTGAAATATAACATACTTCAGCTTTTGAAGACATACATTATTTATACCAAAGAATGTAGACTAGACATGTAGGTATATATACGTGTTTATATTAAGATGAATTATGCTTTTTATCTGCAGAACTTACACAGTAAGTGTGAAGCTGTCAGGATCTACGGATATCCTTCAATCAAGCACGTCTACTGTGATGGTGAGTTAAAGTATACTTACCTCAGTAAAACCTGCATTATTTTAACAGTAATTTGTTTTTATTAAATATCTCATCTGTTTTTTGTAGTATAACGAATATGAAACAAGCTAAATTCTATATCGATCACTCTTATTTGTCCGGATTATAGCACACGAGAGGAAATCAACATGGTCTGGCCGTTAGACTTTCATATCTGATAGTGATTTCTTACCCTGTCGTCTGGGTGAAAAGCGTATGTGTGTTTACCACTGCCCCATCTGACCTTAGGTATACTTAAAGCTGTACCTACATCGCCATAACGATGCCATATGTGATATAGACGGATATATAACGATACAGGATTATTTATTCAATTCATATATGGTTAGAGTTCCCTACATATTCTTAGATTTTTTCAAAAATCTTTTAATTTGTGACAGGTATCGAAAATAGATATGACCTCAAAATAACTACGAAACTTAATTGCTTCTTCTCATACTAAAGCGAAGAGTAAAGTTTTCGTTATATTTATCTAATATCTTGTTTATTCCTTTTTTGTTTTCGACAGTTTGCTGGACCCGTGTGTTCCTCAATCATTTCTCAAAAATGCAGATCGGCAAACACAAAAACTAACTGTTCGATATTCACGTGGTCAGCAACAGCTATCTTTTCCTTCGAGGTAGCAACTTACACCAGCGTTCGAAACATTTCAATGACCATTGACCCGGTCAATGCGAAACGTTTACAACTCAGGTATAGCCGTAATTATATGTTTGCAATTATACAAAATTATACAATTGAAATAATAGTAAAACTTGGTTATAACTATCGAGTTTCAGTACAACCATAATTTCAATTTGTATCCTGTATTTCTAAATGAGCAGTGCTTCATTATACAGGCAACTTTCTATTATCACCAGGTTTTTAAGTCACCTATTACGATCACCCTTTGTCCGGCGTCGTGCGCCGTATAAGTTTGAAGATTTTCGTCTTCTGGAAAACTCTTAAACCGATTTCAATGGAATTTTTACAAAAACTTCTATGGCTAAAGGCACATCAGCATTGTACATTATATGGCTCCCAACAACCAGGGACCTGAGTGGCCAAAAAAGGTCAAATTGATTTAAATTTCAAAAAAATTGTCAAATTTCAGGTATGGTACTTTTCATAGATAAAGACCTTCAGTTGCTTTAGCGAAATTCTAAATTTCATGTCCCTAGGGTCTCACGTTTCCAACTAGGGAGGGGGTAGAGTTTACTACAGTCTATTTAGGAAAATTACATTTTTGAACATTAGTTTATTTTCTGTTGTAAATAATTCAAACCTGGTTAGAATTATTAGGTTAATATGAGAGTTTTGTGAGATACACATCTTGACCTCGGAGGACCCCTAGAGGCTGTTTGGCGGGGAAAATAACATTTTTGACCGTAATTTGCTTATTTTCTTTCAGAAATAGTTTTATTAATATAGCTGGGCGGGGCCAACAATGGGTCAAATTGACTGAAATTTCAAACATGTTCTGTTCCTGGATTGATGATTGTATATGAGAAAATTTTTAAAAAAAAAGTTATTTCTTTTTAAATTAAAACTGTTTAGACATCTTAGCCTGGGACAGCAGTTAATGTATACACAATTTACATTTGCATGTGTACAAACAAAGTCAAAGTTTTCTTTGACATGTTACAAGAACCATTGTGACTCAGGTGATCGTTAAAGCCCTTGTTCCACTTATCATAATCACAAAATGACCAGTTTAGTGCAGAGATTTAACTTACTGATCGGAACACTGACCACTCACGAAGTATCCCACCGTATCTTGCAACAGATACTTTTGTACATAACTGTTTATCAAAGACGTAATATAATTAATTCAATGACAATGTGGACAGCTTAACATTTTTCCAGACCTTGATGTGGTATAACCGTTGTAGTTTGAAATATGCAGATATACCTAGTACCATCGGAATGAATTAATACTCTGTTGTTATATAGTGGCGATTGCTGTCAAAGAAACTTCTCTGTGACTGCTAGACCATCAGTCGGAAGCGGATGTGAAACATCAGAGAACGTGGTCGCATCAGGCGATCAAGTTGTAATAAATGAGGTTAAAATTCCTGATATAACAAAGATCCCAGGGACTACTACAGAAACTCCGGAAGTTACTACAAATATTCCTGAGGTAACTACCGAAATTCTAGAAGTTACTACAAATATTCCTGAGGTAACTACAGAAATTCCAGAAGTTACTACAAAAATTCCAGATGTTACTACAGAAATTCAAGACATAACTACAACAATTCAAGAACAGACAACTGAAATTCCAGCAGTCAGTACAGTAGTTACAGACCACAATGTAGGTGACCGGTGTTGTTCTTTTAATTTTCATTGTACCTCTATACACCTCTGCCTTTTATCTGTTCTATACCGATCAACCTTTTTTCCCTATTCCTATGTCCAATATCATATCCATATTCATGCCATAAACTTCAGTTCAGAAGACAAGTTCTCCATGCCACCATTGTATAAAAGATACATTGGTATTTGACATCGATATTATTGAATGAACATTCTTAATGAGGAATATCAGTGTGTTTTCCCAAATTCTAAACATCAATTGTAAGCAACCGGTACATGATTTTTTGCATAAGGGAAAGTTGTACCAGAGTACTCTTCAATCTGACTACATCAGTGAGTACCATCCTATTTTAGAGATAGCCTTCTCTGTACCGTGCATCAACGAGAAAAAACTTTGGAGTGTGAACACCAACAACGAAACTGACAATCTCTTTAAACAACATGCGATCGTTTAGTTCATCACGAAGACATTAAGGTTGTCTCTTCTTGCGAGTATTACGAACATTATGACTGGACGTCGAGGCACTCTGTGACATACCAATGTTCGTTTTATAAAACCATTAATGATTTATTTGCCATTTTTATAGAACCATACTATGTACAGCTCATACGAACCTCTCAGAGAAGTCACACTTCATAATGTATTCATTTTCTACTTTTCTCCTTTCATTAAGTGGAACTCTTTTCCAGCAACAACATTGACATGTCTTACGCTAGACTCGTTTAAAATGGCCATCACTGCTCCCTATCACTCCAACCATAGCTGTACCTACCGTGTTTTAACATTTTAAATTCACTCGTCGTGTACCCAGCTGTAATTTAAATCACCTTTCACTCATTATAATCTACTAGTCACCTTTCCTTACCTTCCCTGTCAACAACCCGGTTTTTTGCATTTTACACACGTTTACCATTTAATCTGCACATATGCGCACATTGCACATTATCCAGATACAGTAGACATATAGAAATCGTAAGAACATAAATGAAAATAAGTCAATTACATAAGTGAACATTCTCTTAGAAACATATGATTTTAATCATTATTAGCTAATTCAAAGTCATATATAAAAATACGCATTAAGTGTATGATGTTTAAGAATTGTACGTTTCCTCTCCGAAAACAAGATTCTTTTGAGTATGGAATATCATGCACACATCTTCATAATTGAAAATCATTTTAACATCATAAAATATTCTGTTTATGTTATCTCAATTAGTCATTTCGAGGACAGCAATTCCTTATTCCATATTCCTTTTTGTTGTATATTTCATATTAAGTTAGCCATATACGAAGATCGAAGCCTTAGAAATAACAAAGTACATCAATTTAACATTATCACATGAGAAAATTTGCAATGACTTTTTCATACAACATTGCAGGTTTCACAATTCATAGCTTAGTAATATGCATTTAAATTACCATTTTGGGGAAAACTGCTGGGAAAGTTTTCTCATATTCAGTATTTATTTCAATAAACTATGTTTCTGGCTCGTTTCCATTGCAGGAAACAAAAGAAGTCGTTTCTCATCAAAGTTCCAACCAAGCTGTTTTTGTTGGCATTGGAATCGGGTCTGCAGCTGCAGTTGCCATCCTAACCGTTGCAGCGGTGGGATTAATAATTCGTATGAAAAAATCTAGGTCATCGAAAATACACCATTCCCAGGAAATCAACAATTATCCTAACCGGTATGAAAATGTCATCAAGCCAAAATTCAATCAATCTTCCCTGGATTTTTAGATAATTTGAATAATGCTTCTTGTGTGCTCGAACGAACGTATGATTAATTGTTTTACACAAGCATGTTTCATCAGTCGCATCCCAAGTTTAAAATCTTGGCTTATAGCATTACTGACGTGTCCTACCAGGACGAAATAGCTATAGCATGCAGTTCAATTCAATATTCAGATCTACTGAATCAAATTCTATATTTGTATAAAGAGAATTTTTCATTAACTTTTTTTGTCTTTTGTACAATCTTAAAATTATATTGAGCTTGCGTTTTTTTAAATACATGATCTGACTGTGATATTTACGACGAAGTAGATTTCTCTTAAAATCATTCTGTTTTAATGAAACAGTTGGTACCGAAAATTGAATAATGAAAAGATATATATAATTGTAAAAACATGTGAAGCGGGAAAACGGGGAAACTATTCCTTTCGAAAATTGTCAAATATACATTTTTTCCATTGCACCGCAAAGGCTAATTAATCAATAACCGTGCTGGTCTACTGAATGTTAAATCAAGAAATAATCATCAATATCCCAATCTTCTGAATACAGATTAGGCCAAATGTCTTTTAATTTAGTATTTTTTATCCGCTGCCCCTTCAAGTCCGCCACATGGAAAACGTATGCTGGAATTACTTAAATTTGAATTTCATCAAATTTTATTGCTCAAAAAGTGCAGAGGGATAGGGCATCGAGCATTGCCTATTTAAGCCTGAAAGAACTTAATTTAATAGTTCACAATAAAACATTAATTTCTAATCTGAAATGTCACTCAGAGAAAACTTTTCGTAAAAGAATTCTAAAGTAATATTGACAGAATTTTTTTTCACTGATATCAAAGTATTAAATATTGTATGTTAAAATAATAAGCTTGTGATACTAATTAATAATTGTCATTAATTGTCCGTGTACATTTGTAATCAACACTCGGCAATCTATTCTGTCATTTTTTCTTATTGATATGTCTGGCGAAATCCTTGTACTTTTCAAACTTATAAACAAATTTTAGAGTTGGCATACCGTATAGCCAGTTATTTTCGCAGGGATAATACTTTCGCTTAATAGATTGGCCATTTCGTCATGTAGTAACTTTTCTCATAATTTTCTTATTTGTTAAAATATAATTCGATTGTTTTAAAAGATTATCGCAACAATTTTTACCCTATGAAACAAAATATATATTCATAGAAGCTGATCGGTCAATGGACCATGTATGGGGGTTCACAGGCGTATCTCTAAAGTTTCACTGCACACCTGACTTTCTTATCACTTAATTGTGCAAATATCAATATTAATTTCAAATAATCTTTTTATCAGTGTAATAACTCCCATTAAATTTTGTTACTATTGTGATCTTAAGAATATATCGTTTTTTTCGGTTGAATAAAATTTAATTTCTCGAATAATTACAAAAATGTAACTGTATAAACAGAATCCAATATTTGTTTCTATTTCATCATCACCAAATCATGACATGAATGGAAACGAATACAAAATTTTAATTTCCACTGAAATTACTTGCACATTTTAGTGTAACGTTCGATGTGACTTTGTATCAAGTTTTCGAAATTATCTTACAAGTTTAACTCTGCTGAGTAACATACCAGGAGTCACTTCCCCTTTCTCAATTACTTTATTTGGACTATGTAATGTTGCTATACTTATCGTATTTCTTCAATGGATCTTATAGAGTTGTGAGCAATGTTATTTTTGTCACTTATCATTACTCTAACCGATTTTAAAGTGTTGTTTATGTTCTGTAAGGGCAATATATATATTTTAATATAGTTAATTCATGGCCAAATACAGAGATGAGATGAAACTCGGGTTAATGACAATAATACATCTCAATGATACAATCACATTTATCAATCGGTCAAAATATATCAAATTTCATTTGTAAACAAGATATTTTCAGTTTCTTGACAAGATGCTTAATGTTATAATGTATAAGACCTTTTTAAACACTGAAATGTCACAAGAATGAGACAAAATATGATCACTACATATTACATGCTTATAGTGATCCAATAACATAACTGTAGTGATCGTTCTAGCAACCGACAAGTCCAATAATGACACATGTTATAACCACTACATACAAATTATGTTAATCGATATTGCAATATAGTTGCACGGGTGAAATATCGATATTTTTGCATTAATTGTTAGTTTCTGTCCGTTGTATGAAGTTTTAAACAAAGGAGTTATATAATATATAACATGTGTTCATATAATTTGCATACTTTGCTGCCATTGTCGGAATGATGCACCTGACGTACATATATTCGCTGTATTTGGCAGTGACGGTTAACAGCGGTATTTTACCTCGTGTGTCAATTATACAGAATTGCTTTCTGAACTTACTTAAAAATAAGGTTGAACAATTTAAACTTTTGAAATATAAGCTATTTTATATGTTGAAATGAACAAGTTCATTACCGAAAATTCATAAAATCGCCGTCATTTCCGTTGGAGCTTGGAACTATATTTCAGCGGGAAGTAAAGATTTTGGCGTGCATCATCAGGCATAATTCAGCGTAACGTCAGAGTCAGGCAAAGAATCTTGCTGATAGTGTAAGACACTATCTCTTTACAGATATTGTTTCATCTCCATTATTTGTCTTTATTTTTGTCAGTTTTGAAAAAAGAACAGATCGATTTTTTTGAAGGCATTAAATTGATATGAGATATCATGTTTTATTAATTTGTGCACAACATTTCTTTGTAGTATTTTCTCTATAATCCATAGAATGGCTAGAGTGATATTTACATGTTTTGCATATTCGCAGTATCAAAAACAATTTACACTTACCAATCGTTTATGATCAAATCATACACAATCAAATAAAACCATGGGTGTCTTTGTTTTTATTCATTCTGTATCTTATCTTTTACATGTGTATAATACGAAACCACATTTTAAAGATCTGAATTGATACTCGAATGAGATGTTTACTTATTGATGCCGAATTAAGATAGGACAGTACATGTTGTTTACAGCTGATCTATTGCGAAGGGTCAGTAAGCTTTCGCCATGGCGCGGCGTCCATTGTCCGAAAAACTTTTTCTTTCTTTTAAAATGCAACTCGACTGTAATGTCGGATCAGAAAACGAGCATATTTGAACTTGCAAATGAACACTAAAAGAGACGATTACAATGAAATGCTGAAATATTTGGACCTAGTCCAGTGTATTCCTTGTATTTTTACACGAGCTGCGCTGTATTTATCAATATATACCCATAATTGGCTACAATGGGATCCACATGCTAATGCAGTTTGGATTTTGCAAGCTAATATATTTTGTGATTGAACAAACCAGTTTTGCAAAATGGTAGCAGAAAAACACGTAAACAACGAAGACTTGCACAAGGCAATGGTAAGGTAAACAGTGAAGTATGTCAAAATTTCTTTGCACTCCACTGTGAATTCACAAAAATTTCTATTTCGTTAATCAGTTGACATATCTTCACATATCTCGTTTATTGAAATTCGGTGGTTCTTAGAACTAAAACAATTTGGCGGGTAAATTGTTCTGACTTGTGATCCTTTCCTGTGATGCCTGTAAACTGAACGAGTATGCAAGGTCTGCTTATTGGTGCCATTTCGGATGAGACACCATTTTTTCCTGTTTCCACATGGCTATAGATTGCCTTTTAGTTCTGAAGTCCCAGTTACATCAACCAAATTGCAAATAAAATTGAACATCTTCTCTCTCCCCAACTCCTTCCTCTCAATGATGACCATAAAAATACAACTCAAAAATCATTATTATTATTAATACATTCTTAACGGCCCGTCAACACAAAATAAAATTTACAGCATGATTTTACTCTTTAACAGAAATTTGATAATAAACACTTTTTATTTTCTCGTAATTTGAAACGATAACAAAATAAAGACAAAGATGTCTTGCAATTAGCTTGAAAACATGAGTCTTTGTGGGGAAGGTTTTAATAGTCCAAGTAAGATATAAGTAGAAAAAAGTGCACTTGTTACACACTATTTGTCATAAAAGCCTAAATTAGAATTTTGTACAGAAAAAGTACAGTTGAAACAACCCAAGCCTTAAAATGTTGGAAAAAATACTACTATAGTTATGAGCAATGTTATGAAATATATGTCAGAATTAGGTACAAAAAGTACAATGATTACTCTGGAAACGTCCAGCGAAGTAGAAGAAAAATACATCGCAAAATGAGTTCAACTTAAGTACAAAAACGCATGCTAGAGATGATCACAGCTTGCTTTAAAAGTACAAATAAGTATTAAAAGCAGCATTAACTTTTACTTTTGGGTACTTTTTTGGTATGGGAACAAATATGGGAATTTCGTATGTTGTAGTTGGAAAAATCCGTATACTAGAATAGCTTTTATGGGTTATTTGCCGACAGTGTTTTGGCGTGGATTGAAACGTTATTTATTAAATGACCTCTAACCATGATAAGATGAATCGACCCACTTTTCGGGGGACCATGACCACATACTGCGCCTTAGTATCATACCCAAATAGATAGGGTTATAGGGAGATAACAAACTGACCTTAGGTATATGAAGTGACAAGTCTGTTTGAGAAAAGACAGGTATACTATGCGAGATATACAGTGTGTAATGGAAATAAAAATCTCTGATTCAGATTAAGATACACTATCACGAAATATATTCACCGTCCGGAATGGCTAGTTTTGTTCAGTTTGGACTTCATAAGGAGTTTCCGTGAAAATATTTTCGGTGTTAATAATTGGTTATAGTTTTACCTAACGGTGACAATGAGCTAAAATTTAAATGTGACAGTAACTCGTTCACAGTATTGTTGTATCAATTTGTGCATTACATGGGTACAATACTAATTACAGAACTGTTTATGATGAATTATTGTTAAATTTTAAGTAATGATACTACTACTGGTTCAACGCACTTTACCCTTGTATAAGCAATAGTGTTTGATGTCATTGCAAGGGATTAGCCTTTCCTAGACAACCCTCCTGAGATCTCAATCTGGCA